TTTGCAAGATGTAACGCATATCACTGATAAATTTTAAAAATAAATAATTGTATGCTGATCTTATGTTAATCTTATTCACTGCATCAAATAGATAAGTAAGGCTTTGTAAGTAGCTCTTCTAAGAATGAGCTGCTCTTTAATCAGGTACAAAGTATGAATGAACATGTTTAATATTGATACCATATTATGTAGATAGAATGACTTTTAGGAATCAAATGTCCTTTTTTCCCCCTAAGCTAGGTATCTAGGATTTTTTTTTTTTTTTTTTCTGACACTAAACACTAATAACTAACTAAAGATCAAATTTGATATTTTTTTCTTCATTACAATTATTTGAAATATCTGCTGTTTATTTCTTTCATTCATTTATTCCTCCACCAGACTTTGGGAAAGCCCTGTGCCAGGCATTGTGTATGGTCCCAAGGATGGAGAGAAAGATACAGGGATATGTCTCTGACATAGACAAGAGCACATACAGCTGTGGTACCCAGTGGCTGATGAGCCCGGCTGGGAGGAGTCGGGGAAGAGCCTCTGGATTGATGGAGGGGCACTGAAAGAAGCGCTCTGTGGGATGCAGGACTGAGCATGGGGGTTGAACAGAAACTTGGTTGTATTCATGTCGGTAACCGGGGGAGACCTATCCAGTAAGGGAAGCTACTACAGATAGCTACAAATGAGACACATGGCTGGAGAAAAGAAAATGGTGGTGAATATAAGGAAGGTATGAATTCCAGGTCCAAGGGGCAGGATCATGTGGTTCATTTGATGTGGGAAGTATGATGAATCCAGGTTGCAGCCCATTGAGTTTCAGGTGCTCTATGGGTCATCAAGTACAAAGGACCAATAGGTGATTGATATATGGGCCTACAAATGAGGTCTGAGGTTCAACAGAGGGGAATGGGTTGATAGTTGAAGGTATGAGTGTGTTGGAGTCTGTAAGGCAGTGTGAATAGAATGAGGAATGGATGAAAACAGTCCTAGGAACCAACATCACTGAAGGGATAGAGGATGGATAATCAGATTCTAGGAAGATGCCCAGAAAAGACTGATGATATTACAGACATAAGGGAAGAAGAAATGTTAAGAAGAAATTAGAAGTGGTAAATACCACAGAGGAGTCAAGTTCAGAAGAGAATGGAAACGTTTGGCAACAAGGTTTACTTAAAATGAAATGTTTCTTGGAAGTGGAGGCAAAGTTCTAAATAATTTTTCAAAAGTGATGTAGCAAAAAATGGTGTTTTAAAAGGCACCATTTCACAACTACAGCTCTGGAATTCGTTACTGCAAAGCACAAGGAAAGTAAGATTAAGCCAAAGACATGGTGATTTTAATGTCTCAGTTTGGGTCTAAAAAATGTGTTTTTTCTTTCTTCCTCTATATATGCCAAAATAAACCATCAAGCTAGGACTAATTTATTAACTGTTCAGTGTTAGCTTTTTTGACATTTGACTTGTATCAGCCATGTTTGAAAAATATGAAAATATTGAAAGATTATTATAATAGGAAGATCAAATCTAACCTTGATTTGAGAAGGACTCCAGTTGCTAGAATGTGGAAGCAGATCTGTTACCATGGTTACCTATCTGTTCTTCTGGCTAGTTTCCTTTCAGGTAAAACACTTAGGGTGAGATAGCTTTGTACCCTAACAGCTCTGTTACCACAAGCAAATCATAACACGGCTGCAACTCAGTTTTCCTGTCTCTGAAATCAAAAGTAGGTGTTCTTTAGAACTCTGCTTTTCAAACTGTAGACTTCGACACATTAATGGGCGATGAAATGGAAAGTAACAGAATACTCTCCACACAGTGTGGAAAGTCTCGTTTTGCCAAGCTCACATTTCAGCTGTGTGTGTGTGAGGGACAGAGAGAGAGATGTTACTAGATCATAGTATAAAATGATTTTTCTTACTGTGGATTATGGTTAAAAAATATTTGAGAAACACTGCTTTCAACTAGATCCCCTTCCTATTCTAAAATTCTTTCATTTCAGTTAATCGTCAGGCTGTTCTTTTGGTGGTATAAATGTTTCCTAACAATACTGTGGAGTGGCAGGTATGAAAACTGTTAAGGAATGACAGCTAATAACAAAAGAGAAAAACATTAAAAGGTAAATAAGGCCAACATCTATGTTGTATTTGACCACAAGACTGAACAAGCCTTTAAAATTTATTAGTATTCCAACTCACAAGTCATTACTGTAATTTATGAAGAAAAGTTAGAGTAGGCTATATATTCACAAACAATGGAGTAATTCTTTTGATGGTGGTATAAATAAGCTACCATATCAAGGAGAAATAATCCTTTTTCAGAAGTCACAATACCATGGCACATCAATTCTAGAATTGCCCATTAAATAATTGCAGTGAGTCTCCTTCGCCTGCCCACATGAAAAGATTCATTGATGTGGCTATGAGACAAGTCAGTGTATTTTTATTGGCCTCAACTAGAAGGACGACACACCTGAGTCAGGTGTTTTGTTTTAGAAACAGCTGTTTGAACTTCCCCTACTGGTTAATTCTGCTCTAGGCTGTATGTATTTGAGAATTTGTTTTTTCCAGCGCACTTATTGATACTTGGAATTCTTGGAAGTGAGCAATTTCCTATAAAACCAAGATTCAATGAGAGTTTTTCTTTACTTATTTGTAAACAGTTTTTTAATTCTTCTACAACCTATGAAATTTCATAGATTTTAGGTGGTGTCAAGCAGGGAAGATTTAACAAGGCTTAATCATTGTACAGGAAATTTGAGGGAAGTGTTTTTATTTGTCCCTCCCTGCACAGCTCTTGGACACTCAGTTGGCCTATGTGTTTTTATTTCCTGTCTGCCCTCTTACAAACCCTGGGGTATTTGCTTTGCCCCTTTGCCAATCTAACCCCAGATTTTTGGCAATAATGTGTTTTCTCTCTCCTTTACGTTGCCAGTCAGCTGGCAGAGAAGGCCTAGGTGGGAGGGGAATTGAGACCAGCAGTGCCATATTTTCCCAAAACCTCCTCTTGTCGATCTCTGGGACTCCTGTGAGATAAACCATGCTGGTGCTGGAGCTGAGGGTGTGCTGGTGGGGTGGGCGGAGCTAGTGGGATGGGTGGTGCAGGGATGGTGTTGACTCCGCCTCCCTGGCCACAGTTGATTGGCCCATGGCTGGCACCCAGTGAGTCTCTGCCCCCTCCACCATCCCAGGCCCCTCCTTTCTCCCAGGTGTATAAACACATATGATTGTGACAAATGAAGAGATGGAGGGTTTTTGTGTTTTTTTTATTCTATGGGAGAACAACATATTTGCCATCTAGCCACCTGATTTTTTTGGGACTCCTGTGAGATAAACCATGCTGGTGCTGGAGCTGAGGGTGTGCTGGTGGGGTGGGCGGAGCTAGTGGGATGGGTGGTGCAGGGATGGTGTTGACTCCGCCTCCCTGGCCACAGTTGATTGGCCCATGGCTGGCACCCAGTGAGTCTCTGCCCCCTCCACCATCCCAGGCCCCTCCTTTCTCCCAGGTGTATAAACACATATGATTGTGACAAATGAAGAGATGGAGGGTTTTTGTGTTTTTTTTATTCTATGGGAGAACAACATATTTGCCATCTAGCCACCTGATTTTTTAGATGAGCAAACTGAGGCTCAGTGAGATAAAGACACCAAAGTAACTAAGAGAACAAGGATAGGGCTTGGCCTCTGGGTCTAGGGCTCTTTTTCCACCATTTGTCGCTGCCTCCCAAAGCGCATGAGAAGATGGGGCTCAAGGTTGATGGACTTTAGATACTTGGAGGGTAGGGGGTAAAACACAGGCAAGTCTTGAGCTTTGAAATGAAGACAATAGAGAAAATGTACAAGGTTTATATTGGACAGTATTAGAAAGCAAGACTTACTTTCTCTGGGTTTTTCTCCGCTCTAAGACTCAAAGACAGGTGATACACAAAGTACACCCCAGCTAGATGGGTGGGCGACATGAAGGCATAATTTCTCTAGTTACAGTTTCTCTAATTAAATGATCCACATAGATTCCAGAGGTTTGCTGTGATAATAAAAGAGTATATCAGAAATTATTGTTCTTTGGAAAAATTTAAAGGCCATAAAGGTGAAAGTTGTATTGCTATTAAAATGCCAATAAAAACTTGAAAAACTCACATATCCTTGAATACTTTCTCTACAGAATATTTTTCCTTTTTCACTAATTATGCAGGATATTCACCATGAACAGTGTTGCTTCCTGGGTTGGATGCATTACGAATATAGTAACACCATTAAAACCTTGCAAATATCTCTATATCCCCCATCTTCAATACCAACAGATGTCATTAGGATGTGTGTTGTGTGGGACAGACTGTCTATCACTAGTGTCGAAGGCTTGAAGCGTTGGGTAGGAGCCACTGTGCTCCCCTGTGTGTGTTACTGGCTGTTTGATGACTGGATAGTGTCACATGAATGTCAAGATCAGCTTCCTGAACTGGCATGGTGCCAGCTGGTCAGAGTGGCCATCACTTCCATTTTGAGTATACTCAAAATTGGCGGGCAATCTGAATAAATACAAAATAATGGTAGTTATCATCTGGAGTGAAATTGGTATTTTCTATCCTTCTGAAATTAATCTATATTATATCTATTTTCTGACATTTGTGGCAGTGCTTTTAGACACTCTTCATGGATTGAGGTGGAACATAAAAAAAATGTCTTCCTGATTCACTGAATTTCTTGCTCCTGAAACAGACGTGTGAAGCTGAATTTCCTCTACTCTGTAGGTCTAAGTAACCCTAGATTTTATATTTTTTGCAATATTATAAGCAGCAATTTTCTTCTTCATTACGCAAAGTACCAACAACCTTAGAGGTACTTTTTAAATAAAATAAGTCACTGAAGTTCAAATACAGAATAAACCACGCACTCTAAAAGCAGCTGGAGCCCAAGCCTTTTGTCCTTTCCCCATGCTAACTCCCTCTCAGTGTGACACTGTATTTCCTGTACCCTGAAGTATGTACGTTCTTGACCTGTAAAATTCTTCTTTTAGGATCCACCTACTTCAGTTTCCCTTGGACTACGAATGGAAGAAATGATTTTCAACTTGGCAGACACACATCTATTTTTTAACGACTTAGAGGTAAGTTCTGATTATTTTATATACTCTTCATGTTGCATGTTTGGAAATAGGTGATTGGTCCTAAAATAACGATGGGATATTTATTTTTTGAATATATAATTGGAATAAGGAGATAAAGTAATTATTGATTATATGGTCATGCGTTTTGCCTTCATGGAATTTCTGTTTTGCTTTACTTTGGCTGTTGTATTTCAAAGTTCGATTCCACATGATTATTGATAGGGATTAAAAGTTGATGTCAAGAATGTTTTATATTAAACTGTGTTGATTATCAGAAGCTACAGATTTCTCAGTTACATAATCACTGTTGAGATGGGTTACCTTTAGAATCCAACAGAATTTGTGATCCTGTCATATGCTGTCCATGTCAGACTCTTACCGTATTGGGTCAGATTCTTTTCTGTCTGGCTGGCCCAATTGGTCGTATAACATTTTAGTCAGGCCTCTGCTCTTTGGGTTGCCAGAATTCCTTATGTCAAACTGCTGATGATTTTATTTGTCCTTTATAATCTGGGGGGAAACTTTTGTAAGATGGTTCAGTGTGTTACGGGCAATGACAAACATGCTGATCTTGGTTAGAAGCTTTTTTTTTTTTTTAATTTATTTATTTTTGGCTGTGTTGGGTCTTCGTTGCTGGGCGCGGTCTTTCTCTAGCTGCGGTGAGCCGGGGTCGGGGGGGCTACTCTCCGTTGCGGTGCGCGGGCTTCTCATTGCAGTGGCTTCTCTTGTTGCGGAGCACGGGCTCTAGGCGCGCGGGCTTCAGTAGTTGTGGCACGTGGGCTCTGTAGTTGTGGCTCGCGGGCTCTAGAGCGCAGGCTCAGTAGTTGTGGCGCACGGGCTTAGTTGCTCCGCAGCATGTGGGATCTTCCCGGACCAGGGCTCGAACCCGTGTCCCCTGCATTGGCAGGCGGACTCTTAACCACTGCGCCACCAAGGAAGCCCCAGAAGCATTTTTAAGAAGAAAGAATATTGGTTTTCATAGCTCCATTATGAGAAAATATGCCTGTAACTACATTTCACTCCCTTCATAATAGAGATAGTTGTTTATTTAAATCCTGCTATTAAGCAAGCTTGTGGTAGGGCTGCCAACAGGCATTAATCATCAAGTTGTTGTTTTCCTAGATTTTATAAATGTATGTTATTTCAGACAGCAGAAGAATCTGAAAGATTCAAATAGAACTTTTACTGATCAAAGTTAATTGGCAGCAATTGGCCTTTAAATATTTCCTTATGTTTCCCCTTTTCAAAATCAAGCAAAATGCACCTTATTTCATAGATGAGCCAAAATCATTTGAAAAATGCCAGTGTGTGACAGAACTTAAATGCGGTTTGTTCAACATCTGTCCTGTATTTTGATTTCTTTTCATCTGCAATGAAACTACTCACAGACGAATTGGCAACTTCCAGTGCAATGAAATTATTTAAATGTGCTTCATTTTTCCCCCATTCCTTAGTGAAATATTTATTTTTACACTTAGGGTGAAATACAGAATTTTTTTTTTTTTTTTTTGCATTTTAAAGTGTTTGCTTTCCTTAAGGAAATTACATGTAAGGCATTACTATTTTTTAAGGTGGAAATATTCCAAGTGAGTGACAAGTTTAGAATTGCCTTTCTAAAAGCTTAATAATCATACTTATTTTCAAAAGCTGTTTCTGCCTTATGGTTGTGATTCCCTTCATAAGAGAACAGCACCAAAAAATTCCATATTTTACTAATATGTTAGAATTCCTTTCCTAAGTTTCGGTTGTTTCCAACGATACAGACTAGGCTGATATTTTCTCTTGGGTTCAAACCTGTTACTCTTACTGATGTTAATAGGTGTTAATAGCATCCATCAAGAAGAAATTAGCAGTAATTTTCTATTGTTTTTAAACTCTACCCTCTTAAAAATGACAAAGCTTGACTGTACAATGCCAAAATTATGTGGTAAAAAGTGAGAAGTTAGGCAAAGTAGTTAACTTGGTATAATATAGACAGAAAAGCTTCCTAACTTAGTTTGGATATAATATAGCCAGATTTTTATTTGTTTACTAACATTATTCACACTGAACTATATAGAGAAGGTCTGAAATAAAAGTAAATATTAAAAGTTCTAGTTTAGGTTTGTAGTGGATGTAGTTTTTTCATAAGCCCAAATTAAAAAAAAAAAAAAAGAAGAACTAGGGATCCACACAGATATTGAAATATCAGATTTTCCTCTTGGCATGAGGACTCTTTTTTATAAGTAAAGTAGAAAAGAGAATGAAGGAATAATTCAACCGAATGTAAAAATCAATAGTGAAAAATTATTTAAGCTTGTAACCTTCCCAAAATTGATTTTATTTTACTTGCGAATAATATAAAGCAAAAGTATAAATGAAAGATTCACTTAGCCTCTGGCTTCGGAAATTATTTACTTGCTTTAGATTTGTGCAATATTTAAAAAATACATTGGTTTTTATACTTATTTCAATCCTTCATTTTATATTTTTGTAATTCAACAAACCTGAGAGTGGTCATTGCAAATATTAGTTTCTTTCAAAATAGAGTAAAATTATTTCCTGGCAAAAATAAATGTATTAGCTTAATACCCTTTAGAAAACCAAAATTGTCTCATCAGGCAAAAATGATGTGGTAATGCTTGATTTCACATGCCAATTAGCAATGTACTGTGGTAAAGGACATGAATATTTTAATACATTTTAATTACATGTTTTTAGCTTTTGAAGATCTAGAGTACAGGTAATTTCAAGGAGATTAACAATCTATTGGTTAGCTTGAAGTGTGATTTCTGAACTCGAATTGTTGACTTAAGCCTCATTTTCTTTTAAAATCTTAACTTTTTGCCAGCCATCTGTCTAATTTGGTTAGTTCAAGCTGTGGCTTAAAAGAGATTCTCAATAATGAAATACACTGCGTGAGGAGATTCCAGTAACAGTTCTTGTGTTATCAAAGTATTTGCTTGAAATGGTTATTAGGGTATTTTTTAGGAAATTTTCGATATGATTTTAAAGTAATTTAGAAGTATCGTCACTGTATTTTAAGACATAAAAAAGTTAACCGTTTTAGTTTTAAAAGTCTTATTTGTCATCTCAGTTAGTGAGAGTTTTTAATAAAAGCAATCACAATTTAATTCTGTTGACACTTCAGGAAAAAATAAATAAAAAGGAGAAAGCTGGTTTTTCGAACCATTAAAAATGTCTGACATGTGAAGGACCATGAGTGACAGGGAGACACAATTATCAGAGGAAATAATATTTCCCCCCCACCCAGAGAAGGGTTTAGACTTGAGTTCCATGCACTCCTGGCTTTCCTATTTCCAAGTCTGACTAACACCCTGCGTATCATTTTACCAAAAGATCTCCGTGTGCAATCCGACGATGCTTATTATGGAAGTCATTTTTTATGAATGACAGTATGAAATTGGAGGGTTTTTTCCAGCTTCTTTAGTAAAGTCTGTCTCTTTCTGACTGAATGGAGAAAGAGCTCTTTCTGTTGGATTTTTATTGAAAGGTGATCGACCTTCTGAATACGATAACATTTCAGTTTAACTTGCCTTTTGTCGATTCTTCTGCTGGATTTTTCCACGATTAAAGGACGATATTTCATCAAGATTAATATGAGTCTAAAGAAAAATAAGGAACAAGCTGATGTCGAATGTTCTCTTTCTGTCTGGTGTTAAGTAATATCATCTCACTGGCGTTATGGTTGCCATCCTAACTGATGTTATCAACATGGTAGCCTCCAAGAGTCTCTGCTCTCAGGCCACAGGGGTCAGGGTTGGGAAGTAGCAGGGACCCGCCTCTTGTCTTCTGGGTTGTACACACCACGTTCACCTAGTCAAGTGTGAAGCTGTGCTACAACTTTCTCCTTCACGCTCCCAGTATGTTGGTTAGTTGGGACAGACCAGAGGATTCTTTGGTGTCAAGCTTTACAATGTGAATACCCCAGCCCTTTCTTGGGCCTTTGATATGTAGACTCCTGTCCCAGGTTTGATTTTCAATCACCTACTCTTGTAGCTCCTCGTTTTCACATTTTCTATTTAGAAAAGGCCTGGGACCAAAGGTTCTGGTCTCAGTAGAGCTGGGTTTGATGAGTCAAAGGCCAAGGAAAGGCACCATGGACTGTCTCCAAGTAATGCCATAATTTAAAGCAAGTAAGTTATAATGAGTTTTCTTATAAAGCAAAGAAATTAGTTTGCCCCTTGGTTTCATTCAGTCTTTAAATTTGCAATAATATGTTATAAGTCTAAAACTTAGGTTATCGTCTGTTAATCATTTTAATATATCTTGTTTATAAATTGATTTTCAGCTAGGAAAAAATCTTCCTTCAAAATATCAGTCATGCCAATGCTAGGTAGCTTTGATCTCAAGCGAAGCGTTCTGTAGTGACCTAATGCTTGTGCTTCCCAAAGTGGAAAAGTTGTAAGCTAATCGAGAAGTTGACTTTTTGAGTGGAAAAGTATAATTCACCTAGAAAGTGCTTTGTTGCTAAACAAGAATGAACTCTGATGCCCAGGGTCAAGCTTCTTTGTAGACGCAGGATGCTCTGGTTCCATAGGTGCTTGTAAAGAAGACACTTCTGGAAGAGCTTGAGCTGTTTTCTTCTTTCAGTGCATGTCACAGCCAAGAAACAACTCTATGAAAGTGTGTGGGCCTAAACATAAATGTACCCGTAGGCATGTGTATGCCACTTGTCATTTTCAGCTCTGGACGTAGGCTCTTGTATATGTATTTAATTTTTTTCTGATAAATTTAGCAAACATAAAGGATTCCATTTTTTTAAAAATCCTAGTAACATCCTTCATAACACCTAGAACATCGCCCTATACATGTTGACCATTAATGAGTATTTGTTAGATTAAATTCTTATCTGTTGTCTCAGATAGAAGATCGATTTCTGTGTCCTTTCCCATGGAAGACAATGGACTTGACCTTGCCTTTCTGTTTTAAGATGGGTTGCTTGACCTCATCTATTTTCTTAGTTAGTAAGAGTAACACCGAAGCCCTCAGTTTAGGAG